AGTTCATCAAAGAAGATATACAGATGACAAACATAAGAAAAGAAAAGATGTTCAACATGATTAGTCATTAGGGTAATGCACATTAAAACCATAACGATAGTCACAATACACACCCATTAGACTAAAATTAAAACAAAAACCAAAAAACAAACAAAAACCTAACAATACTAAGTGTTTGTGAAGATAGAGGAATTGGAGCTTTCATACACTGCTGATGGGAACGGAAAATGCAACAAATACTTTGGAAAACAATTTGGCCATTTCTTAATAAGGAACATGAGGAGACTTTTGTGGATGATAGAATGTTAACTATCTTAATAATGGTGATGGTTTCTCGTGTCTATACATATGTCGAAACTTACCAAATTGTACACTTTATGTGTACAATGAAACCTTATAGCAATGAGAAGTGACAGCTCAGTTTGAAGCTAGGAGGTATGATAAACTGTGAATTTTAGGAAGCTTATAATTATGGTCGCAGAGCAGACCCTCTTTGCGGGAGGTAGGGTAGCAGAGGAAACACTTTTAAGGTTACGGCAGTGTTCCAGGTGGGAGAAAATGGTAACCTGACCTTGGGTAAAGGCATTGGAGAGAAGCAAAATCCACAGTAAGAGTGGGAGAGCCATTCACACCGACAAAGGTACAGTGGGAATGATCATAGTGCTGTGGTTGACAGTGTACAATATACAATAGCTCTCATTCTATTTTAATACAGAGCATATTTCTGAGATGAACAGCACTATGACACATCAGTGCTCTATGGTACAGTGCTAAGTGTATAGATTACTGCAGTGTACATTACAAGGCCTTATATTTATACAATCATCCTACCTTTGCAATCCATTCCAAGTTGTTTGATTACCAACTTAGACTTCTTGGAATTAGAGTAAGGCAACTCACAGTGCTCTGAGGCTGTTTCAGATGAATGGGTTAATGTATCAAGGTCATCTGCAGAATTTGTTTGTTTTTTGACCTGTAAAATAAATGATACTACTTCAAAATGTCCTCAAAACATTTAGAGCACATACTAAATGTATGGAAGCAGCAATTATCTAGCTTTGTATATAAGCAAAACACAAGTACTTTTTA